TATTTCTAACTTTTTTTGCTATAATTTATCTTCAATCAATTGATTACATCAATTATTACTAAGATTTTGGTTTTTTATGGGAATTTTATGAATTACTCCGTATCAGTCTTAATTAGTCTATTTGTTACCAGTCTCTCATTGTTTGTTACCACTTTCAAGTATGTTTGAAAGCATGATTTGTGTTTGCTTGGAATTGCAATTCAAGAATTACTAGAGTCTTTTATGTTCTTTTATTTCAAGAAGGTTAGTTTGTACGTATTAGAATAGAATTATAAGGTTGATATGAAACAGAGTTTGATTTTTTTTGTAATTGTATTTTAGATTTGTTGAATTCAATGTTTCAAAATTATCAATGGTTTGAGGTATTATTCCTATTTTATTTGATGTGCGTAGGTAAATTATGTTTATTATTTAATATTAATTTAAATTCACTTTAAATGATTCAGATTGGGTTCCCTAATGGTGTGCCGTCATCTCCATCTTGAAGTGAGTATATATTTTTTTTATCTATTTTCTTTTAACTTTGCTTTCTAAGATGGCATTTGAAGTACAGAGTATATTTTTTCTTCAAACAATAATTCCTGCCTAAATGTGTTGTCTATTAATCTTATGTGCATTGCTTTGGCTGCTGGAGAATAAAAGAAACATATAGTGGTGGAACCGCAACGGAAGGAAAAAGAATATTTTCCTAGGCGTAGAGTGCGAAATTGGAAGGCTGTTCCTAGGCGTAGAGAACAAAAGAAACATATAGTGGTGGAACCGCAACTGAAGGAAAAAGAAATTGTTCCTAGGCGTAGAGTGCGAAATTGGAAGGCTGCTCCAGAATCTGATGTGGCCCCTTTGGCGGTTTGTTTAACCATTTGTCTCTCATGTATTGGGAATTGAGACTAAGTGACCCATTTTTGTCATCGTGATGAATTTGGTTGAGCAGTCAGAAAAATACTTGGTCAATATTCAAATAAAAAAGAAGAAAGAAGACAGAGGGAAGAAGCGCCAAGAAGAATGACAGGTGAAAAAACTTTTACTCAGTATAATTTTTCAATTTTATGTGTTTCTACACTCTCTTCCATTTTTAAGAAGTTATGTTAATTTTTATTAGGATTTATTGACAATTTAGTTCATGTGCTATTTGATTAAAAACGACTTTGAATTTATATGTACTAACTGAGCAAAAAACCACTAATTTGGTCTTTGGTCAAGGTCGCCTGAGTGGGAGACGATAGTATTCTGAAAATGCATATTTTTGCTATAATTTATCTTCAATCAATTGATTACATCAATTATTACTAAGATTTTGGTTTTTTTATGGGAATTTTATGAATTACTCCGTATCAGTCTTAATTAGTCTATATGTTACCAGTCTCTCATTGTTTGTTACCACTTTCAAGTATGTTTGAAAGCGTGATTTGTGTTTGCTTGGAATTGCAATTCAAGAATTACTAGAGTGTTTTATGTTCTTTTATTTCAAGAAGGTTAGTTTGTACGTATTAGAATAGAATTATCAGGTTGATATGAAACAAAGTTTGATTTTTTTGTAATTGTATTTTAGATTTGTTGAATTCAGTGTTTCAAAATTATCAATGGTTTGAGGTATTATTCCTATTTTATTTGATGTGCGTAGGTAAATTATGTTTATTATTTAATATTAATTTAAATTCACTTTAAATGATACAGATTGTGTTCCCTAATGGTTTGCCGTCATCTCCATCTTGAAGTGAGTATGTATTTTTTTATCTATTTTTTCGGCAGTTTAATCAGAAATTTTCAGTTAACATTTCATCTTTAACGTTTTTTATACTTGTTTTCCCCCCGATTTAGCTCCAAGTACTTTTTATTTCATTTTTCGCTTCAGGTTTTTCTCCGATTCAGCTTCAGGTACTTTGTTTCAGTTTTTCACCATACATATAGGGGCTAATTTAATATTTACCAAGAAAATTGAAACAAAATGAGAGAAAAAATAGAAATAAAATGATTATTGTTTGCATGAATAGACAATGAGGAGAAAATGTGAAAACAGAAAAGGAGATTGTGCTTTGTCACATTTTCTTCCCAAATATGGAGAGTAGTTTTTATTTGAGCTCCCCCGATTTTTTCTTCTCTTCCTTTTCTTCCCTACCCAAAAAAGAGAAATTACTCCAGAATCCATGTTTTCTTTTATTTTCTTTCTCTTAATTTACTTTTCAACTAGAGTCTTTATTTTATTTTTATTTTTTTGCACAAACATTTTACTCCCTATAGAGTGATGATTCCGTGTACCCAAGGTCCACACTTAATTTAATTCCTAAGCCTTCTCACAAAAGTTATTGAATTTAGAAGCTAATGAGGAAAAAAAAGTCCGTTTCACCCAAGCCAATGTGCCTAATCCTAATTCCTTAATACCATTATCCTAAGCCTAATCCTAATTGTAATCTTAATCCTAATCCTAATCCCCTAATCCTAATCCTAATATTAATCCTAATTCTAATCTTAATCCTAATCCCCTAATCCTAAACAAATCCTAATCCTAATCTTAATTCTAACCTAATGTTAATTCTAATACTAATACTAAGGAGTCCACATCAGTAAGGTCTATATAATTGGAATAGAATTGAGGACCATAGAAGTATTTGCCCTCCCCTATAATTTGCATTTTAAGTTTTATCTGAGTGAGAAATGGGGCCAAGATTTGTAGAGTAATATGGAGTAGCAGTGATGCAAATATTTCAAGAATGGCCTTACTTATAAAGTTTGAACACTTGGACTTCTCCCAGGAGTTCACTCTTCTTGATGGATTCATTAGTTTGGTTGGTATTATGTGCGGAAGAGAATGGAAAAATAAGAAAAATACAATGATCGTGGAATGTATTATTGATTTTTTCTTTATAATTTGTTGATTATGGATTTATTTATTTTTTGTTTGAATCATGCATTTTGGTTTCCAATTCATCATTCAAACAATGTTTTTTTACTTATTCAGATGTTATTCAGCATTACGAATTTGTATATCCAAAGACACATTCGGATTTCTTATAGTTTCGATATTTTTGTGTTTTTTCTTATACGGATTTTGATATTTGGTTATGGATTCTGATTTTATTTTACTAATTTAGATGTACTTGCAGATACAGAAATGTCTGAATTCAGAAAATATCCGTCTGGTTTGGATTCTGATATGATCATGCCATTATCCCTCGGATACGGATGCGGATTCGGTTGTGGGTTTTCTTAAACAGATTTGAATATGGATGTGGCACATCCATTTTGGAATTTTTCCGTTTCCAGGCCTACTGCCAACATCCTCAACACATATATGATCTGGCTCTTTCTGTCCATGCCTTGTTTACCATCAAGTTTCAACACCCTATCATTAATTTTGCACCCCCTATCATTCCATCCAATTTAAACATTTCGAGCAAGCTTGACAACTAAAGGCCGGATTCAACTAAAACAAACAAAAACTTCAGATAACCATTCCAACTACCCAACTAACTAACAAACACTGCATTCATGAGGCTGAGATCTCTGATCAAGCAATGCATACAAACATTGTGAACATTCTATATTGTGCAAAACTATAGAAAATATTTGCCTATCACATTATAGCCTCACGGCTCACGCCCTCACCAAATGAAAAACCACAATAACATTGGGGAATACCTCTCACGATGGAGGAAATGGCGATGAAAATAGATGTAAGGACAGGATATCAGTTTAATGGAGAAGAATGTTGAAGACGGGGTCTCTGCTCTGTGGGGGGAGCACGAGTGTTGTGGTGGTGGTTCTTCGTTAATGGTGTGTACTTGTGTGGAAAGAGGGAAAAGAAGGGATTTTTTTTTAAGGAAAGAGGGGAGAGGATTTTGTGGAGAAGAAGGGAGAGTGTGTAGTCAGGTTTTGTTTTTTAGATAAATTCAAATGGAGCCGTGTGGTCGCCCTGGATTGAATTTTTTAAAATATCACTCGACGACTCTCAGAACAGTGGGCTTCACTGAGACTTGTAAAGATACTTACCTCTACAACTATATGGTTTTTAAATATTCTTTTTAAAAGCCCAACTCTTTATGTAGTTCTCCAGTCACTAAATCAGTTTGTGCAACATGTTTTGAATTAATTAACAATTCCTTTATTATGATATTCACTTGCACGGAGTTACGGCCCCCGCCTCATATCTTTCTTCCACATTTTCTTTTTGGGTCGTCTTGTATCTTTCTTCCTCTTTCCTCTGGCAAACAAATAACACCCAATTGACATTTTCATCTTATCCCACTATCTACTTTATCTCTCTTACCCATTAGATCATTGACAAAGGTGCAAAGTGAACTGCTTTTACATTTTACGTTAAAAACTTAAAACCTGTCTTGAGTCAAACGTGAGAGAAAGATATGGGCCACACATGAAATGTTTATGCCAAAGGGTTGATTGGTTGGAGTTATTAGCATTTGTTGTGTGGATTATCATAAGGAAATGGCTTATGCTGCTTTGGTTTCTCTTCATCATACTATTCAGCGCCTGCTGTATTCTTCGAGCATTTCAATTGCCTCCCCTGGTCTAGACCTAGTTAAATTGCGTGAATTGGATTTCTTGGAAAAGGTTGTGGAAAGACTAGATAGCAGAAGCTGCATGGCGAGAGAGAATGATAGAGAGAGCGTGGATGATGATGTGGAAGGAAAGATCAGAGAGGCAGAGTTTAAACTAAAAGATGTATTGGAATCCCATGTATCATATCAGTTTCTTTCACAATTCGGAAGCTGGAGGGATAAAGGTCGCGGTTTGGTTCTATCTCTAGACTCGGAGGAGATGCATCAGGAGATGAAATCCTTTACTGAAATGGTCAACTTTGTGAAGAATTATAGCTCAGAAATTGCGGTCCATGAAGAAGAAGAAGAAGAAGAAGAAGAAGAAGAAAATGACTATTCTGCTTCAGGGGTAGTTGATTCTGGTGCAAAGAAGTCATCAGAGATAGTTGGATTATCTGAAGAACGCAGGAGAATCAAGAGCTCACTTACAAGTTGGATGACGGAACAGCTTTGTGTTGCCTCACTTGAAGGAATGGCGGGCATTGGTAAGACGACACTCGCTAAAGAAGTTTATGAAGATCCATTTGTTTGCAAATATTTTGATGCACGTGTGTGGATCAGCATAGGCCAAAAATATCAGTTAAAAAGAGTCCTACTGAGTATCCTATTTCAAATGAATCCTTCCTTTGATAGAAACCTTAGGGAAGGAGATGATGAGTTGATTGGGTACTTGAATGAGAGTTTGAAGGGTAAGAGGTATCTCATTGTTTTGGATGATGTATGGAGCTTGGACATCCGTGATCTTGTGAATAAGGTTCTTCCAGAGGAGAATAATGGAAGTCGGGTCTTGCTAACTACTCGGCTACATAATGTATCTACATTTTCCTACGCGACTTCAATTCATCGAGTACGTTTCATGAACAAAGAAGAAAGTTGGTCTCTTCTTCGTCATAACATTTTTGGTGATGAGTGGTGTCCTCCTCTACTTGAGAATGTTGGGAAGAAGATTGCAGCCATTTGTGATGGTCTTCCCCTTGTAGTTGTCATCGTTGCCGACACCTTATCCAAAGCAGCAGAGAAGAGTCTCGAGTATTGGAAAGAAGTGGCGGAGAAAAAGAATTCAATTTTCAAAGATGCATATGATAAAATGTCTGAGGTACTATATCCTAGCTATAAGCAGTTGCCTCAACATTTGAAAGTGCACTTCCTTTATATGGGAATTTTCCCTGAAAATTACCAGATTTCAACATCTAAGCTTTTCCAATTGTGGCTTGCTGAGGGATTTCTCAAAATATCTCAAGCAAAAATAAACAAAATTCAAACTGTGGAATGGTTGGAAGAACTTGTTTCCAGAAATATTATCATAATCCCCGAGAGGGACTCTAATAACCACAGTTTTAAAACCTGTAAGCTCCAATCTGCCTTTTGGCATCTGTGTAGCAGAGAATCTGGGAAGAACAAGTTTTTCCATATCATAAACAGTTATTCTGATGGCTTTGCAGAAGGTATAAAAGATCAGCATCGACTGTGCATCCAAAATGGCATCTTGTTTGGAATCAAAGACGTGCATGACTCTATGGCTTCCATCTCAGCTCTGCGCTCTCTCCTATGTACTGGTCCATCTCATCCATATCCCGTCCCTCTATGTTTTGATTTGAAGTTGCTGAGGGTGCTCGATGCCATTGCAATCCGTATCTATGAGTTCCCAGTTGAAGTACTGAAATTGGTTCATCTAAGATACCTTGCTCTCACTTGTAATGCTGACCTTCCTCCATCAATATCCCGGCTTGGGAACCTCTGTTTCCTTATAGTACGCCGTGATTTGAGGTTGAAATCACCCGGAGATTGGCCTTATCTGCCAAAGGAGATATGGGACATGCAAGAATTGGTGCATCTTCAAATCACAGGAGGCAACCTACCTAATCCCGATGGTGGGGCTGTCTTAGAAAACCTCCTAACACTCACTGATGTGAGCGCTCAAAGTTGTTCCAAGGAGGTTCTTCAAGGAGTCCCTAATCTAAAGAAGTTAGGGATTGAAATTGAATTGGAACCTGATGCTGATGCTGAATATGACCCATTTTCCTTCTTTGATCACATCTCCCATCTCTATTCTCTAACATCCCTGAAATGTGTCGTCGGGAATCCTGAGCTCACTCGTGGAATTCCCACCCCATCCGCTCTTCCCAATTTCCCCAAACGTCTCAACAAGTTGAGTTTGAGTGGCTTTGGATATCCATGGGAATGCTTGAGAAAAATTGCTGTAGGGATGCATAATCTTGAAGTGCTTAAACTGCGATGCTATGCCTTTCAAGGGCTAGAGTGGGGAGTGCGTCAAGGGGAGTTCTTGAAACTCAAATTTCTGCTACTTGAAGATAGTGATCTGGTGCGATGGGAAGCCGATGATACTTCTTGCTTCCCTTTTCTTGATCGCGTAATCCTTCGCCACTGCTACGGGCTAGAGGAGATACCCTGGAAACGTCTCACTTCGGTTCGAGAGGTTGAGCCTGCTACCCCTCAGCACTAAGGCAAATGCCTGATTATCAAATGCAGCTAGGAAATGTTGCTGTTCAGTCCTCGTGGGAAGGTGAGCGAAGATTATTGATTCAAGTTTTAGGGCTTGTTCTCTTCACCTGATTTGATTTGGATTAAGTTTTGATCTAATCTGAATGCAGTTATATTTAAAGTTGTTTCTGATCTAATCTGAACTGATTCCATTAAGAATAAGTAATACTTCGTAAGTAATAAGAAGAAGAGAACAAGTTCTTAGTCATTAGTCACATGTTGGTACTATGAATCATCTAACATTTGATTGAAATCATTTTTCCAGATTCCAGATTATGAAATATCATGGTTGATAGAGAGTGATAGTGAAAGAGCTGGCTCCGTGCATATCAACTACTCCCTCCGTCCATGTATGATCTTCCCATTACGCGTTACGAGGTTTGACCGACTTTATTTTCAATTCAATTTAATTGATTATATGAGTAAAATTTTAAAATAAAATTTATATAGTAATAATCTACATGAAAAGTTCTACAAAACTAGAGGTGACAAGACTATTATTTTATGAAATGACTAGTAAAATTGAGAATGGTGGACAGAGGGAGTATTTCAAGAGCGTGAATCCGAGAATTCGGATCCTCGATTTCAGATCTTGTTTTGACCTTGTAAGTTTTGTTTCACTAATATCATGTATATGTATCTTAGTTATTTATGTCTCACGTATGATGCGGAATACGTTCATGTATAATACATTATGATATTATAAACTACAGCTTACTCGATAGTGTATCTATATTAAATGTTTGACATATGGATACGCATAGATACGTGTTCAAAATGTGTTCTGCTTTAAAATCACGTCTTACTATAAATACACGCAATTGATAAATACTGTTTTGATATCCCGGCCCCGTACCTATAATGTCCCGTTTCATTTGGGACAATGAATTTTTTGCCCCAAACCGATTTAAAATGGACCGGGACCACCAAAAAGTATCACATTCTGTCACGTTGTCCCATGTATTTATGTTTAAACCCAGACCCTTACGACTCGTGCCCACCCTTACACACAAAGTATATATTAATCAAATATATGTCAAATCTACACATATTCATAAAACGATAGTCATCAATTCATAATAAATTAAAATAGTAAATTCCTTAAATACTTTCTAATTACAGGTGATTTTCTATCTTTCGTCTTCAAATGTAAGACATTACATAAATGATCCCAAGTTTTGAAAACTATTCCATAAATAGTTTTTTAGGCAAAATATGTCAAAATATTTTCCACATATAGTTTGTGAAGGACCAATTATAGAATACTCCCTCCGTCTCCTTAAGATGTTCTCATTTTGACTTTTGGTGCATTTTACGGAGAGTTGAAAAAAGGTGAAAGTTTACCATAATACCCTTAATGAAAAATGGGTGAAGTGTATTAAATGAAGTGAGTGAGGTGTAATAAATAAAGTAAGTGGGGGTAGTTGTGGTATTTTAATTATTGAAAAATGAAATGAGAAGATCTATTGTGGACAAAAAAAAGGGCTATTGAGAAGATCTATGGGGGACGGAGAGTATTTTTTTTCAAAAATTGGGAATCATTTATGTAATATTATAGAATTGGAGATTAAATATGAAAAATAATATATAGAAATTTATAGAATTTTCTCTGAATAAAATATAATTTTTTTATGAAATGTTTACAATAGAAATTAACAAACTCAATTCTCTATTTATTTTGACAAACTTTGACCATAATTAAATAAAAATGATATTAGAAATTGATAGGAAAATAATTTTATTAGATTTATCTTGTAAAATATTTTCAATATATTTTTTTATCTAAACTAATATACTACCTTCCTCCCAATTTAAATTCCATTTTTCGATTTACAATATTTGATTGAAATTATTTTCAATGTAATTTGTCAGAGAATAAGAAAGGGATTTAAAAAAAAGTTACATATTGAAAAGAGCAATGTTATGTTCACAAACAGGATATTCACAAAATTCACAAACTTACTATTTATGGTTTAAATTTTCATTTTAAATTTATTTTAGACTATTTAATGTTATTTATTGAAGTTTACAAATAGTAATTTTTTGAAATTTGTGAACATTTTGTTTGTGAACCAAGCATTTAGTGGAACCGCCTGGATTGCACATCATAAATAGAATGCTGATATTATCTCTTGGGTGGTTTCTGTTGATAATCTCCCTAGCCTTAGTTATCTGATGCTTAAGAACTGTGAATTAGTAGTAGTTATTCCACAATATAATAGAAATCAAATATTTTGTCTACGTGAATTACACTCAGGGCCCATTTGGTACACAAAATTGACGGAATTAGAATTGAATTTGGAATTGTAATTCTATGGAATTGATTTGGATGAAGTTGAATTCCCTAATTCTAAATCATTTTTAGCACTACCAGTTCCAAATCCACATATTTTTACGCTAACAAACTGTAGAATTGAAATTATTGTCTCTAATTCTGATTCCATATTTTGAGTTCCGTGTACCAAAGGGAGCCTTACTAATTTGCCAAGAAGTCAGAGGCAGATATCAAATTTGAATTGCATTAGTAGATTTTCCTTGCTAAGGACATTGTGGATTACTCCGTATATTACAAAAATAGAGGAGCTAAGAAATATTCGCCCAAAAGAGAAACATGCAGGCATGCAGGGAATTGAATTGAGATTAGACATCCCACAAGTTGATTTTGACTTTGAAATCAAATTTTGACACCAAAGTAAAAATCAACTTGTGGGGTGCAATTGACGGGGGTAGGGGGTGTGTTCGGGTCGGGGCGGGGTGGGGGAGTTTACAAACGGGGTACCGGAGCACCCCCGGGTCATCCCATGACATTGGAACCCAATATCATGGGAACCTTGGTGTTAGACAAAAGCTTACTTTCACAAACAATTTAGAATAGAGATGAGTTAATACCCGTCCGGGTAATTAAGTATTATATATAAAAACATAAGTTTAAGTATGTTAAAGTTACACTAAATAAATACTTGGTCCGTCCCTGAGTGTTTGTCTACTTTTGACTTTTGGAACTGTTTCCAAATTCATTTCTAAAGTTTTCTTTGATTTCAAAACGTTGCACCAATATCCCTTTTGATCAATTTCTGACCAGTTTTCCAGCGAAGAAGGGAGCATAGGTGCTTATTTTCTAAGCCATAAGGGGGACTGCTGCTCACTTTTTATTTTTCGTTTAATTTTTTCTCCTTTATTCTTTATTTGTTTATTATTAATCAAGGCTTGTTGAATTTCTTTTTATAAATAGTTTTATAATGTTCTCAAACTTTAAAATTATTTTTGAGTAAAAAAAAATAATTAACATACATTACATCTGTGCGTCTCAAATTAATGTTTTTTGAAAAAAAATAAAAACTTTTTTTGAGAACATTAAAAAATGAGGAATAAAATAAAAAATAAAATGAAAGAAAAATGAATATTCTTTTTAGACATCCCAATTATAAGAACCTTTTTAGGCCATCTGAAAATTACTTTTTTATAAGACTCTTTTTGCATGTTTCAATTTTTTATTCATTTCTTTTTTTCTACATTTTTATTTTTGTTTTTTATTCTGGATTTTTTTAACTTACCAAAAAAATCATTCTAGAAAGCAAAAAGTTAAAATGTTTAATTTGAGATAAATGGAGTAAATGTTACTGTTTTTATTTCAAACACAAAGAATTTTGAATTTTTGAAAACATTATTAAAAAATTGAAAAGAAATTTTAACAGCTTTTCTAGTAAAAAGAATTAAAGAGATAAAAAAGAGTTTGAAGAGGGAAAAATCCAAACATTAATTGAAAAATAGGAATTTAGCACCAATGCCCACTGATTTAGAAATTAGACACCAATGCCCCTCCTGAAATTTAGCCACCTTTATTGAAAAATGACCAGAAAGTGATTAGAAGGAGCGTGAGTGCAACGTTTTGAAACCACATGGACTTTAAAAATATTTTTTGAAAACAGAGGGGGTATTGATGATAATTTTCCAAACGAAAAGGGGCACGGGAGCTGTTTTGCCTTTAATGTATCAAAAAATAACAAACACCCCGTAAAAATGTACCCAATTCGTCCTTAAGTATTTGTCTAGTTTTGACTTTTTCCGATCAAATTTGACAATTTTTGAGCACCAATTAAATAAAAGTGATATTAGATATTGATATAAAAATAGTTTTATTAGATTCATTTTGTAAAATATTTTCAAAATATTTATTTATCTAATTAATATAAAATATATATTTTATTTAATTATAGGTAAGAGAATAGAGTAGTTGGCTACAAAAGGTCAAAACTGGACAAATAATCAGAGACGGGGGTATTACATTTAATTTATTAATATAACATTATTTTAGTGATAACTGTTCGGTATTTTTTCGTTTTTACTTTTTGGGAACGTGTCCCATACCAATATGAATAGTTCAGTTCGGTTCGAAACTAAGGGTGAGTGAGAATTCCGAAGCCGTTATCCCGACCAGAAATATCCCGGTTCCGTCCATATAATGTTCAATTTTGTTTGGGATGACAAATTTTTGTTTTCGAACTCGTTCCCAATCATTTAAAAATAGGATGGACCGGGACACATAAATATTTTTGCATGCCGTCTCGTTGTCTCGTATATATGTATATATCTACTTATTTATTTATATAATGATGCAACACAAAAAGTATCACAATTATTGTTTTTGTCAAGGTAGATACAAATAAATATCCAAATTCAAATATTCTAAAAAATAAATTACGATCGAAACACCTAAATATCCGGACCGTTTTGACACGTCTAACCCCAATTTCTGGCTTATAATTTTGTGAAACTTATAGTTTTGACTTTTAACGTATGTTTTAGCAATTTTTCATGTTGTCTTATTGCTTTGGGTTTTCTAAGACATTCTAAATGAATACATAAATTTTTTTCAGTACTTTGCAAGTCAAAGTGGGTTGTCTTCCCTTATGTATTTTATATTTTTATATCTAATTTTCGACAATGACAAATCAGGACAACCCGAACTCGTTTCATTTTATCCCGATATCGAATATTAACACTGTGTTTGGTTCAAGAAATTTGAGAGGAAAATCAAGAAGAAAATGAGAAAAAAAATATCTTGTTTTGTTAGAGAGAGAAAAAAAAGTGAAAGAAAATAAAAAGGAAAAATGTATTAAGAGGATGGAAATTATTCTTCCCATTTTAGTGAGGAAACTAAGGGAAAAAATATCTTTTTTTCCTTTCAAATTCCTTCAATCAAACATAGTGTAAATAACAAAGAGGAATAAATTTTTGGCCCGAAGACAAGTGCTTGACGGCGGCGGCGGCGAAGGGAAAGACCGCCATCCGCCGCCATCTGGTCAGCTTGAGTAGGGTCAGCTTGGCCTCAGAGGTCAAGTCCCCCCGAGAAGATAAAGTCAAGCATGTGCTCGACAAGGTCAACGCTGGCTTTGCTTCCCTGGTCGGCGCCCGCGCCGGACCCACCTGCTCCCAAGTCCCAACAACGGTTGTCTAGACCCAAAAAGGTAAAGCAGACTTTTCAATTTTTATTTTTTTGCAGTTTTTGACTCATAGTTATGCTCCCTCCGCCCCAAAATATTTGTCACACTTGCTTTTTCAGCAATCGCGGGAATTTTTATTTATATTTGATAAAATAAAATATTCTTGACACCTCTTATTTCGAAGAGCTTTTCCTGTAGTTTTGGATATGTAAATTTTTTTTTTCTATACCACCAATATGTAAATAAAATGAATTCAAAAAACTTGATATTTTGCCTCGGGAATACAAGTGTGACAAATATTTAGGGACGG